TTTGAAAATCAGGTAGGAAAAGGTAAGATTTCATGTGGGAATAGGTGGAATTTTTGTGTAAACAAATAATTAACTATGAAAACACATAATTACTATGTAAACAATGATCCACAATTATTAATGAATACCTGTTGGAATAGAGGACCAGTATATTCACTTTTTAGAATTATAAATCTGACTTTTTTACTATAATATTTGAAAGAAAAATAAGTGAATTAAATCCTTTTTTACAATGTTCATAATTTCAATGCCCCCCTTCCCCGATAAATCTATTTATTTTATGTTCTAGAATTAAGATATGAAAGTGCTTTTTTTCTTTGTTATTTTCTCAAATCCATATTTTTCATTGAAATAATTCATATTTTTCATTAAATTTATTCGTTATTTTGTTATTTTCTCAAATCCATATTTTTCATTGAAATAATTCATATTTTTTATTAAATTTATTCGTTATTTTCTGTCTTAAAATGTACAAAATACAGATAAATCTAAGAAGGAGTGTAATTAGTCAATTACTGTAAAAACAAATTAACTATCTAAACATCTATTGTTCTTTGCAAGTGGGAATAGGTGGAATTGAAATTCTTAAAAAGTGGGAATAGGTAGAAGACACCGTCAAATATCAACATTTACAAAATAAACAACAAAAGAATTTTACATTATGATCAAAGGTATTCAATGTTTACATGTAACGACCATATTTTGTACCCAATAAATGGATGGTCCAATATTTTTCATCATGGTAACATTTTAAAGATGCTATCAAATAAAAATGCTCCACCAAAGGAATTTACAAAATTTTGATTATTGTCCAATTAATTTCACATTGAATTTTACATTGAAGTCTATGGGCAGCGCATGTTTTTATAAGATATTGTAAAAAGTAATTTTAATTTCAAATAAATCTCTTGGTGAAAATATGCATGAACTTTTTCTTTATTAAAATGTGAAATAAAATGAATTATTTACCGTAGAAATTTTGAGTAATCAAAATGTTCTTCTTTTGAACAAGGGCAGATAACTCTTCAAAATCTCTTAATGTGCAAAATGACAGTCTTCTTAAATGTTATCAGTCTTGTGAATTTGGTTCATGTCACTTTTATCGTTATTTAGTAATCCGTTTTTAAATAGTTTAAAATTATTTAAAATCGTTCAAAATTCTTTCATTATTCATCGAATACCTTGTTCAGCATGGTCAGGAAACAGTTTTGTGTGGATGTTAAAATAGCAGAGCAAGTTGAGTTGCTGAAGAAGTCGGATGGTAATGACTGAGGGACGATGTCTGTATCAGATGATGGAGTGCAGATCTATGTGGCAATGCTGATTTCTCCACGTGGTTCAGATGGGCTGTTTACCATGTTTACGGAAGTGGAGATCGCGGTCTCGCGAGGCCTCGGTGGTAGTGGACAGCGTTGCGCTAGTGACTTGCTTTTGATCCGAAGATAAATTTATTTTCCTGGCGTCCGGTTCCTTGATATGAAAGTTTGAATTCTGCGGAGTTAGAACAATTTAAATAAAAATATTTAACATTCATATTATAGAATATTAAACAAAGATATTCTAAATGTTTAACAAAAAGCACAATAATCATAAAATTAAAATTTTATAAATAATGGGGTAAATGTTTCATACAATCCTGATTGACGAACTCTGACATGATTGAAGTGCGGAGAAAATTAGCACGAGTGTTTTTTGTAGGCATTGTCCAAAACAAAGACCGCATTGTATTATCAACAATTTTACTTTCTCTTTTTAAACATCCTTAACAGGATTTGTAGTATTTATTTTAAAATGACGTGTATATTTATACATAATTTCCTTTGGAAAATTTTCAAAAATTTGATAAAATATTGATTTCTTAAAAGTACAGTATCTTACAACATCTAAGAATGTGTCATAACCTTGACCCAAGGTCATTTGAGGAAGTTCAAGGTCACTGGAAGAAAAATTTCATAATTCGTGTCCGGTCCATATCTTTCTCATGGATAAACTTGGTAGGTTCTCATTTCACACAAAGATTCCTCCTGACTTAAGGATGTGTCATGATCTTGACTCAAGGTCATTTGGGGAAGTTCAAGGTCACTGGAAGAAAAAGTTCATAATTTGTGTCTGGTCCATATCTTTCTTATGGATAAACTTGGTAGTTTCTAATTTCACACAAAGATTCCTCCTGACCTAAGGGTGTGTCTTAACCTTGAACTAAGGTCATTTGGGGAAGTTCAAGGTCACTGGAAGAAAAATTTCATAATTCGTGTCCGGTCCATATCTTTCTTATGGATAAACTTGGTAGGTTCCAATTTCACACAAAAATTGCTTATTACCAATGAATGTGTCATGATCTTGACCCAAGGTCATTTGGGGAAGTTCAAGGTCACTGAAAGAAAAATTTCATAATTTGTGTCTGGTCCATATCTTTCTTATAGATAAACTTGGTAGGTTCTCATTTCACACAAAGATTCCTCCTGACTTAAGGATGTGTCATGACTTTGGGTCAAGGTCATTTGGGGAGGTTCAAGGTCAATGGAAGAAAATTTGTGTCCGGTCCATATCTTTCTTTATTATGGAAAAACTTGAATCTACTACTTCGCACAAACATTGCTTTTTACCTAAGGTTGTGTCATGACTTTGAACCAAGGTCATTTATGCAAGTTCAAGGTCACTGACAGAAAAAGTTCATAATTCGTGTCTGGTCCGTATATCTAGTCTATTTTTTTTATTAGGCTGCGCCTTCATTTATAAAAAATATAATGAGCAATTACATTTGCACTAAAAATGTTTTAGCATTTCTCTCTTTTCTTAGATCCATAAAATATTCATGATTTAGCATTTCTGAAAAATCCAGCGGGGGGTATTTTGTCTCTTTTGGACAGTTCTAGTTACAATGTGCCAAGCATTTTCCAGCAAAACAGAAGAAATGTAGTGGTGGATCTAGAGGGTGGGGGGGGGGGTGTTAACATCCTCTAAGAGAGAGCGAGGAACCCCACATATTTCATATTTGTTGCGTTTTTATTAAAGTAAAATTATAGCTAAGTTTAAACTTTAGTTTTGTACTTTTATGTAAAAACTACTTAAACATCAAACTTCCACCAGATCGAGTTCGTTTGTACCAAAGTGAGTGCAGAGATGCAGAGGTCTATGGACAGTTTGCTTATACATATACCGGTAATATTGTACATGCATTATGCATGAAGAAAATCGACAATGTCGCATGCAAGTGTTTCATGTCACGAGGATATTTTAACAGATAAATATAAGAAATTTTAAAAACAGATTAGTTCCTGATTACTTTATCAAAGGAACAATTAATTGGTTTGCGGCCGATTTTTGACGCATTATCAATTGTCAATATGTTTCTTGTTATTTATTTTGTTTGTGAAATGATATATCATATCTGATTACTTAATAAACAATTAAACAAAGCATCTACTTTTTTCTTTGGTGTATTTACATGCAGGTTGACATTTGACCTTTCGGTAGTATTTCAGTAGAGAAATATACATACCATAGGTATTACCATGAAAATAAAAAGATTCACTTTTGTAGTGTTTATCATAGTGAAAATTGGAAATGGAAATATTTTGTACTATTTACTGAAGAGAATAAAAATGACTTTGGACATCCTCCCCCTTAGAAAACATGGACCCCACCATCATTGTTTTTATTATTTTTTTTATTTGCTTTTCAGGAAATCTTGGGCTGGATTTTTTTTTGACTGAGGTGTGACACGCCCCCCTCCCCTTTCCGAAAAAAAATTCTGGATCTGCGCCTGTATCTACTGAATGTCCGCAACGGGAGATAACTTGACAATGTGAAATTTGTCGACTGTGGCATGCGATGATCTTTGACCCTTTTTGAACTTCAACCTAACCATTTGCATTTATCTATTTTTATGCAATCTATACATAATCTTGTACTTACCGATTGTCATAGGTCTTGTCAACGAATTCATGAAATATAATCCATATAATCCAATTAAAACACAACTGATTTTAACTGACCACACTGCACCGTCAGCATACATGTGCTAAACAATCTCATTCCGCAAACCTTTGCTGATTCCGTCGCCTTCATTAGATGAAGTATGAATCGGCCGAGGTGTGCCGTGGTGATATCTAAAAATATGATAATGGGTGACGCAAACCCAATGTGAATGTAGAAATTTTCAATAAGATGTTCACACGTAAAACTGTACAAGAACAAATTTCAAACTATCATAATAAACGACGTTTTAACATAACTTTGCCATCTAGGTCTATTTTAAAAAATGTGTGTGTGTGAGAGAGAGAGAGTGTGTGTGTGTGTGATGGCGGGGGGGGGGGGGAGAGAGAGAGAGATAGGCATTGGCAAATTAGTTGGGTTGTATTTTCAATGTTTTTTTTTTCCTGACCAAATACTAAAATCAGTTTGCACATTTTGATAAATTCATCAAAAACGCTTTGTACTAAAATAATATTTTATGTCGTTGAGAAAGTAAATTTAAAAAGTTCCAAATTATGGGCAAAATATTTATCAGAATCTAATTAAGTAATTTACTTCATTAATTAAAGTCTGTTATTTCAGACTGGTAATGAATTAAGTATACAAAATACATATATGAGGCTCATAGATCATATGGTCACCTGAAAATTTTATGCTCAATTTGACGAATACATGTACGGTGATAATTATAGAATTAATTTGACTTTTTTCGTTGGAAAGTCCAATATGAAGTAGTGTGTATTTAGAGGCAAACACCTTAGTGCGTGTATTACTGTCTCATGACAGCATCTAGTTATAAATTATTGAGATGAGGAAATTAAGCATGTTAAGATTATAAACCTTTAGATTTTGTTTACTTGGCATAGTTGCAATATTTTTTTTTTAAATCTTATGCTTATAAGACATTAAGTTTGCATGTTTGTGCAGAAAAAAAAGATGAAGCATGTACCGTTTCATATTAGAAAGAACAGGTCATGTTTGAATTTTATAATGTCTTTTTTTAATTTATTTTCATCATGCAGATATCAGCCGTTCTAAATGATGAGACAGCAGTTGAACATGTAAAGAGAGATGGACCTAAGAGGCACAAAAAATCATCATTCGCTTTAATGCAAGAAGTTTTTGGTAAAGGTATGACTATAAAAACCCATTGTACAAGGTGTCCCAGAATATATATCATTTTATGATAACGGGGTATGTAAAACATAATTTAATGGATATTGACATACAACAATTGCACTTGAAACATTGCCTATACTATAGTTTTATTTGCACAATTTGACAGACATTGAAATAAGTTCACTTTAAAAATGCTATCGTTTTAAAATAATGCCCTCTTAATGACCATAATGACCAATCTGGGTAATGGTCCTATTTAGACATTGCACAAAATTTCTTAAGGAAACTTAAGACTGCAGTGCACTTCTCTTTAGCTATAATCTGAATTTTCATTGAAAATATACGTTTTTAGCTAAGTTAAAGCGCTTCTAAATATGTGAATCTTGTGGCCCGAGGGTCAGTGGTTTTGGTGTTAGTGCGCGGCTCTATTGATTATATAGTGAAAATACATTAATTCTTTGAAAATCTTCTCTGCTCCTGGGTATTAAATAAACTAAATAACTATATAGTTATGATGAGGAAAAGTGCCTCTTCAAATATTGTTAATTTTATGGCCCCAGGGTCAGGGGCTCTTGTGTTAGGGTGGGGCTGTATTGATTATATCGTGAAAACATATTACATGTAATTATTTAAAAATTTCTCCTCTGCTCCAGGGTAATAGATAAACAAAGTACATAATTATGACGAGGAAGAGCGCCTCTTCCAAAATTGTGAATTTTATGGCCCCAGGGTCAGGGTTTGTGGTGTTAGGGCGGGGCTCTGTTGATTACATAGTGAAAATACATTAATTCTTTGAAAGCTTTTCTGCTCCTGGGTATTAAATAAACTAGCTAAGTATATAGTTATGATGAGCAAGAGTGCCTCTTCCAAAACTGTGAATTTTTTACCCCCAGGGTCAGGGATTCGGGTGTTAGGGCGGGGCTCTATTGATTATATGGTGAAAATACATTAAATGTTTGAAAATTTTCTTCTCTGCTCCTGGGTATTTTAAAAGCAGATGAACTACCTACGTATATAGCTAAGGACTCTTCTTTCAGAATTGTGAATTTCAAGGCCCCTGGGTCAGAGGTACAGAGGTATTTACATATATACTGTTTGAAATCTGCTCGTTGGTATTAATAAAATATTTTTGATAAGCCAGAGTGCTTACTTGGATGTTTCATCTAAGGATGCACACTAATGGACTGCAGATGCTGAATTCGAAATACATTTTCCAGATAATAGACCAGGTAAAAGTTATGGGTGCAGGTCTATCACCAAGAAACTATAAGACTTTTTAACAAAACTTGCACAAATGATGCACCAAGGGATGAAAACTCTCAAACATACTTCAGATGCTGGATTTGAATTACATTTCTTTTTGGGCAACTTGTTTAAAGTTTTTTAGCTCACCTGAGCTGAAAGCTCAAGTGAGCTTTTGTAATCACCCATTGTCCGTCTGTCTTTCTGTCTGTCTGTCCGCCCGTCCGTCTGTTAACTTTTCACATTTTCATATTTTTCTCAAGAACCACTGGGCCAATTTTAACCAAACTTGGTACAAAGCATCTTTGGGTTAAAGGGAATTTGAATTGTTAAAATAAAGGGACATAATCAAGAAAATACAAAAATAGGGTGGGATCATTAAAAAGTCTTCTTTTTAGAAAAAATCCTTGAAAATCTTCTTTTCAAGAACCAGTGAGCCAGGAAAGCTGAAACTTATGTGGAAGCATCCTGGGGTAGTGTAGATTCTAAAATGTTAAAATCATGACCCCGGGGGGTAGGGAGGAGCCACAATAGGGAATCCAAGTCTTACATAGAAATATATAGGAAGAATCTTCTTCTCAAGAACCAGTGGGCCAGGAAAGCTGAAACTTATGTGGAAGCATCCTAGGGTAGTGTAGATTCTAAATTGTAAAAATCATGACCCCGGGGATAGGTAGGGGCCACAATAGGGAATCAAAGTTTTACTTAGAAATATATAGAAAAAATCCTTAAAAATCTTCATTTCAAGAACCAGTGAGCCAGGAAAGCTGAAACTTATGTGGAAGCATCCTGGGGTAGTGTAGATTCTAAAATGTCATGACCCCGGGGGGTAGGGAGGAGCCACAATAGGAGGTACTAGTTTTTTGTAGAAATATATTGGAAAATTCTTCTTCTCAAGCACTAGTGGGCCAGGGAAGCTGAAACTTAGGTCGAAGCATCCTGGGGTAGTGTAGATTCTAAATTATTAAAATAATGATGGGGGTTGGGAGGGGGTAGGGGGCCACAATAGATGTAAGAAGAGGGGAAATCTGGTAAAGAACTGCATCACCAAAGTTACTCAGGTGAGCGATGTGGCCCATGGGCCTCTTGTAGTTAGGTCTATTCCAAAGTAACTGCAAGCCCTTACAGATCGAAATTGCATAAAAATTTGTATATTTGGATTTACATTTTTAGAATATTGGTTACTTAAAGACAACATTCGTTGAGGTGAGCTCCGTAATTTCTGATTACCTATGTTTTAGCTCTACTGGTAAGAGACCAGTAGAGCTCATGCGATAGTTATGCGTCCGTCGTCCGTCTGTCTGTCTAGCTGTGCGTCTATTTGTCTGTCTGTAAACAATTTTTTTCAAAATGCTACTCCTCCTACACTTTTGGTCTGATTTCAAAATAACAAAGCATACAAGCAGACTACACGAAGATACGTAATTCTCTATATCGGTTTTTGATTTCGATGAACGGTGTTGCCGTGGTTACTAAAAATAGAATTTTTTTTGAAATACTTTAAAAATGCTACTCCTCCTACAGTTTGGTTTTATGTCAGTATAAAAAATAGAAAAATGATCGTAGCACTCTTTAATATTTCTTTTCAAAGTTTCACGACAGTACCATTTCTACGCCGGTATATTGAATCATTCTCTGAAAATAAGAAGCCGCTTCTTATGAGTCATTTTAAGTGGAAAGTGAATCAATTAAATTCGTACGTTTCAGTTAGTTAAGTAAATATTGATTTTTTTTAAAGCTTTGTTCATATTTTTTAAATCGTACTTAAAACTTCCTCACCGAAAACAGTAAATATGTATAAACAGTATAAGAAAATTTCAAAAAATACATGTACATGTACAGTAAATGCACGTATTTTCTTCGCAGAATTGATATTTCATAAAATTTAGGAAAAACATTAATTACTGATTAAATATATATTCTGTAACATGTATTGTTTTAACATGTTCATATGACTTGTAAGCATTGTTACAACGCGAAATTTAATAACAACGCAAAATGTAATAAAGTCCATGGGATTATTACGTTTTGCGTTATTACATACTGCGTTGACATCAACGCGAAATGTAATAACACAAAATGTTGTAACATTATTTTTGGTTTATTACATTTTACGTAATTATAGCCCACGCAACAAGTTGCGTGAGGTTTTGTTTTTGAGCCGTCAGTCAGTATGTCAGTATGTCACTCAGTCCGTCAGTCCTGTTTTTTTATTTTTTTTTTATAACTCCTCATAAACCACAGCACACAATTTCTTCAAACTTTGCAGATATTTAAGACACAATATCTTAAATATAGAGATGAACAGTTTGTCATCGCAACTCCTCTTAAACCGCTGCACAGAATTTCGTCAAACTTTGCAGATATTTAGGACACAATGTGTAGATGTGCATATAAGTGGGAAATTCCGATTTCTTAATTTTTCCTGGATTTTCAGCACTTTGAGTTTTGGGGGAGTGTGGGGTATGTGACCTTGCTCACTTTTTCTTTCATTCTTTCTTGCATCGAGATCAACGCAAAATGTACATGTAACAAGGTACTTTTTCGTTGTTGCTTTTTCCGTTATTAAATTTTTGCCCTTAAAAGAACGCAAAATGTAATAAAGCAATATGTAATAAAACAAAATATTATTCATTTTTCGGATTGGGGTGGACTCAAAAAAAAAATTAAATATGTAGCCATGGGAAAACTCACTTTACAAAATAGTTAGAACTAGGACAATGAGCCCAACGTTACGATTTTACGTACATTACTCAATCTAAATGTAGCTTTCTTTAAACTCTAACCCCATTTTTTAAAGTTTTTATTGAATACACAATACTTATAAAATATTAATTTAAGTTTGATTGACCTCTTTTTAGAAATCAATCCTATTAAATATCTAACCGTTAACGTTTTGATAACCAAACATTGATTATTAATTAGCACCTTAGAAGTGTTATTATGTGTTTGTCTATCGAGCAAGAGAAGGGATGGGGTGGATGTTTACTTCCTATGCTGATCATTGTATTATTATAGTCACGAAAAAAAATATGTTTTTATTATTGGAGAGAGAGATATTTTGTTTTTGCTGGTCTGCAATGCACATAATGTATAAAACACTATGAAATTATAATTGTTAATAAACACCCCCCACCCCCGCTATTTTTTTTTACACCTACCAGTACAAATTGAAATATTTTTTTATTTCATCGCATTTGTCTACCAAAAAGCAAAAGCACACTGGTTTTATCTTTTAAAAAAATGTTTGGATGCCCTCTCCTGATCGACTCAAAACTTTTCAACCTCAGAAGCAATTATTTTTTAAGTTAATCTGGAAAATTCTATTTTTTCCGAAAAAATAGAATTATTCTAAAAATTAGCATTGAAATAAAAATTTTCTGAGAAAAAAATATCTCGCCTACCTACCGAGTCGAGAGAGGACAACCAAACAATTTTCTAAAGGTGGCCTGGTCAATAAAATCCCCTTCCCACTTTTTTAATTTGCCATGCCTATGATTTGAAGGAAACGAATACCTGAGCATATTGAGTTACATACTGGAATAACTTTATCTAAAGTGATAAAATAAGACTGAAATTGTTATTTGGATTTTTGAAATACATGTACATATAGCTAATGAAATCAATGTATAATAAAAAAATTATATACATATATTAGCATGGTTATTTTTAGCTCTACTGGTCAGAGACCAGAAGAGCTCATGCGATAATAATTCGTACGGCGTCCATCTTTCTGTAAACATTTTTTTTTTCAAAATGCTACTCCTCCTACAGTTTTGGTCTGATTTTAATACAACTTGGCACACAAGTAGACTACACTACGATACATGATTCTATATATCGCTTTTTGATTTCGACGAACGGTGTTGTAATGGTGACTAAAAAAATATAAATTTCTGTGAAATACTTTCAGAATGCTACTCCTCCTACAGGACTTGTCTTTTAATAGAACTTGGCACACAACTGCACTCACAAAGATACATAATTTTCTGTTTTTGGTTTTTGATTTTGATGAACGGTGTTGCCATGGTCACTAAAATAGAAATTTCTATTAGATACTTTTAAAATGCTTCTCCTCAAGTCTCATTTGCTACTTTTCTCTTCCATACATTTGTATAGGTCCAAACCAGAAAAGCTACAGTCTCGACAGAGACTTTTGGTTTCCTTTTGTTTTCTTTCTTTTCTTCGCCCAATTCTCAGTTTAGAATTATAATCAACCTGGCTGAGCAAAGTGTGTTATTATACAATTATGGACTGTTTAGAAGGGAGACATCACCAGTTATCAGGTCTGAGTAGGGTTGTCACCCGAGGGCGCTTGCGCCCGAGGGTGACAACCCTACTCAGACCTGAATTCTGGTGATGTCTTCCTTCTAAACAGTCCATAATAGTTTTATTATCCTGAAGAATATATACAATTATTAATTAGATAGAGTAGAAATTAGTAATCAAACCTCTTAATTTCTTCTACTCTGCTCCGATTCCATACTTTCAAAATATGTCAACAGACAACTTTGACGTCATCGTTAGAATTTATTGTTTACCGATCCCGCATATTTAGCCATTGTACTTATAAATAGGAGTTATCTCGCTTAAACCACTGTAGTTCTATTCAAAGGGCGACAACACAGTTGTAACCCTGCATGATCGCTTACGCTATTTCATTGTCATCTGAAGGGGGATAACAGTTGTCTCCCTGCGCGTGAGGGAGACATCACGAGTTGTCTACCTGCACGTGACCTGCTCTAAACCAATCAGATTGACTGTATAATTCTGAAGGATAATAATACATTTTGCGTCGAGAACAACGCAAAATGTAACAACACAAAATGTAATAATCCAAAAGTCATGTTATTATATTTTGCATTGATCTCGACGCAAAATGTAATAACGCAAATTGTTATAATCTCGGTTTATTACATTTTGCGTTGTTATTAAATTTCGCGTAGTAACAAAGCATGGCAGAAATTTATGTCAAGGGTTTCCCCTTTTCTTTGCTCACATCAATCTTTGACCTAATAAAAAAAGATAAAAGAAATCTTTGGGTTATTTCCGTTACTTTTGCGTTTTTAGTGAGATTGAACCTGTTTTGATTCTTTTTATTTTGATATTAACCAGTTTAGTTAAATCAAGAGGCTCAGGGTCCACATCGCTCACCTGAGCACTGTATCTAGGAAAAATCTCTTTAGTTTTGAAAAGCTTCAAGGTGCATAGACACAGATTTGCTGTTAATATGTTTTTAAATTTTGTGTATGATTTCATGACTTCTATGTTGCTATCAATAATATTTCAAAAGAAAATCTTTTTTTAGGGGGGAGTTATTGAAACTTCGAATTTCTAGACTGACACATACTTTCACTTTCCAATTTTTAACTTTATCTTTAATACTTGAGAAAAGTAGTAATTTTGTTGTGTATTAATGAAAAGTATTAAAACTATAAACCAGAAAATTCAGAGTAGAAATGTGCGAAAAGAAAACCATCAGTTTTGTCAGTCCGTGCTCAGCAGTGTGCGCCGAGTTTAACAATTGAATACACATTAACAACAATAGAGCTCGTGCCCTGTTTACCAAATTGTGTACGTTTCAGGAGTGTATTCAATTTGTTAAACTTTGTACACAGCATTGACATTACTATGGAATGGGATTGATTTTGCAGGATATCATTGGATACTTTTTTGCCCCTAATAACTTTTATCCATTTCAGATCATCCAGCACTATGGCTGTTTCCATTGCAGTTTCGACCATATAACAATGACTATTCCAACCTTAATCTTGTATAATAATGGTGTGTTGTCTAAACAAATGTATAATTACGAACTGTAATATGTTTTAGCATCCAAACCGCAGACGCTTAATCTCTTAATTTTTTTTATGAATAAAACAATACTATACTATTAGACTTGTAATAACAAGGTTCGTTATGGTAACAATTCTTGTATGTTTTCCTCTAACAAATATGTAAGTGTTTCAATATTAACGGATATAGCCATTTTTTATAAATATTCAATGTTATGTTCAGTTTATTTGGCAGTTCTAAAAGAAATGTCACAAAATGTTGAGGTGCCCATTTTGCATTTGTACATGTATGTGTACAGTATATAGAGGTTTTGAGTTGTAATACTAATTTAACTCAGTTGTTGTTTTATAGTGGTTTGTGTACTTTTCAGTTACATAACTTTGCACTTCATATGATTAAAGACAATGCCAGAGACTGTTATATATTTATAAAATATATCAAAGTGCATCATTGTATGTATCATCCAGTTTATTAGCTTATTTTAGTCGGGGTTTGATTGGATATTGTTTAATGTCCCTCTCGAGAGTAATTCAATCATGGAGACGCCACCACTTACCGTTATGGGCCAGAACTCAAGAACCTCTTGACCAATCAGTGTCAAATTTGTCACATGGTATCCTTGACCCAAGGGCTACCATTTATACTAAAACTAGAGTTGGAATCCTTAAACAAGGGGAGATAATCAGGAAAACAAAACCAAAAGTAGTGGTTGCTAAAAAATCTTCTCCAGAACCACCAGGCAGATTTTCACCAAACTTACAAATAAGGATCAGGATATGTTGAAGATTAAAATTTGCACGGGGAATTACGCTCGGTCAAAGGGCGTGGTCTCAAGGTCACTTCAAGATTGACCTAAATTTAAACTTAATAAAAAAGTTAATATTTTGCTTACTATAAAGACTAGGATCATCAAACCTTGTAAGTTGATGCATCTTAGGACTCACATCATATTTACTAAACAGCAGGTCACGGTGTCCTACTTTTTCAATTTTGCAGGTATTTGTATTCAAATTGATTTGGAGGCATATTTTAGACACTTAAAGCCTATGATCATCAAACTTTTGTTAGTTGATGCATCTTTGGTCCTCGAACAACGTCAACTTAAAAGTAGGTTGTGACCTACTTTTAAGCTCACCTGAGAGGAAGGCTCAAGTGAGCTTTTCTGATCAAAATTTGTCCGTTGTCTGTCATCTTTGGCGTTGTTGTCGTTGTAAACTTTTCACATTTTCATCTTCTTCTCAAGCACCGCTGGACCAACTTCAACCAAACTTTTTCAAAGTATCAGTGGGTAAAGGGGATTCAAGTTTCTTCAAATGAAGGGCCACGCCCTCTTCCAAGGGGAGATAATAATGAATTAGTGAAAAAATAATGGCATTTTTAAAAAATCTTCTTCTCAAGAACCACTTGGCCAGGAAAGATGAAACTCATGTAGAATCATCCTTAGGTAGTGTAGAATTAAATTTGTTCAAATCATGACTCCCGGGGCAAGGCTGGGGCCACAATGGCCGATCAAAGTTTTACATAGTTATATATTAGGAAAAATCTGTAAAAATCTTCTCCTCAAGGTCAATAGGGACGGGAAAGATGAAACTCATGTTGAATCATCCTCAGGTAGTGTACATTCAAATTTGTTTAAATCATGACTCCCGGGGGTAGGGTGTGGCCACAATGGGCGATCAAATTTTTACATAAAGGTAATAATACATGTATATAGGAAAAATCTTTCAAAATCTTCTTCTCGGAACAACTGGGCCAGGAAAGATGAACCTCATGTGGAATCATCCTCAGGTAGTGTAGAATTTAATTTGTTCAAATCATGACCCCCTGGGCAAGGCTGGGGCCACAATGACCGATCAAAGTTTCACATTGGAATATATAGGAAAAATCTTTAAAAGTTTTCTTCTCAAGATCCACAGGGACAGGAAAGATGAAACTCATGTTGAATCATCCTCAGGTAGTGTAGATTCAAGTTTATTCAAATCATAACCCCTGGGGGTAGGATGGGGCCACAATGGCCGATCAAAATTTTACTTAAGAATACATAAGAAATACATCTTTTTTTTTTAAAAATAGCTCAGGTACTGTAGAATTAAATTTTTTCAAATCATAACCTCCAAGGGTAAGGAAGGGTCTCAATGGTGGATCAAAGTTGTACATAGGAAAATAAAGGGAAAAATCTCAATAACAGAAAAGCTATGTTTAGTCATATTGACATGTATTGAAGATTTAAATTTGTTCAAATCATGAGTACCCTTTGGTGTAGGGAGGGAAACAATGGTGAGTCAAATTCAAATTATTACAAAGTGATTTATACAAGTTAAAAAAAAATCTATAAAAATCTTTTTCTCAAGAACTTTCTCAAGAAGTTATATGCAGAATTGATATGGAGGCATTCTCAAGTAGTATTAGAATTCAACCCCCACCCCTCAGTAAACTTTTAAATTTTTATCTGATTTGTGCTTTTTTCCTAGCCAATGTGCTCAGGTGAGCTATGTGGCCCCTGTGCCTCTTGTTGAACTTTTAGGTCACCTGAGTAACTCCGGTGACCTATTGCTATCCGTTTTTGTCCGTCGTCGCGCGTTTTGCGTCGTGCGTTAACATTTGAACATTTTCAGCCTCTACTCTGCAACCGCTAAACCAATTTCAACCAATTTTGGCATAAAGCATCTATGGGTGAAGGGGAACAAAAATTATGAATTTCATGGTCCCTGCACCCCTGGGGCCTGAGGGGTGGGGCAAAAACCACTAAAATTAATGCAATCTTTAAAAATCCTCTTCTTTACTCCTGGACATCAAGCAGTCAAACTGTTTGCATGATTGTAATCAGCATTGAGCCCTCTACCAAAATTATGAAATTCATGGCCCCTGGGCTCAGACTTCAGGCTCTAGGGTGGGTTCAAAGTTGGTCTTGTGAATGTTGTAAATGCATAATGAAAAGGTCATAATGGAAAATGAAATATATGTAACAAATGTTTATGTGATGTTTGATGTTTTTAAACAATATCTTTAATTTATTCACGCAAGGAAGAAAACAATTGTGATCTTTTATTGCGACAGTTTGGCCTAATCAACCCGGTATTTAGGCCTACTATTAGAAGAGTGTTGGTAAAATGGGTAGACAAACCCGGGCCGGAGCAAATTAAAAACCGGGACTGGTCGTGGTTTTCCAATTTTCTCTCGTAGTACTTTGCCAATGGGACTGAAACTATCAGATTTTGTTTGTTATAGGTTTATTTGTAGTGCTATAGATGAAATTTGGAAATTGAAAAATTGCAGTCAGCCCCGATTTATATTTTGCCCCGGCCCGGGTTTGTCACCTCATTTTACCAACACTCCCATGAGAACTTCCACGCATGCGTAAAAGCGATCGTCCGGAGGGAAGATAGACTTGCTTGAGCGTCCTGAATATTAGTGAATATCTACAATATTTACGTCTTTTACAGGTTTAAGGTTTAGCAATACGAACGGTGGGTTTGAGTATTATGGTTTTTAAGGTTATACAGCATAGAATATTACGTGCTTTTTTGAATACATCGCATTCTTTTTGTTATCCATTAAATTCGTTTTAGCTTTGTTATGACTTATGCAGCAACGAAGAAAAAGTTCGTTCGAACGGTGTTGTTTGCATTTTATATGGACTAATAAATCATTGCACTGGATTTTAAATATTATTTGTTATTTTTACTTATTTGTGTATTTAATATAGATTGTCAAGGTGAATCTTTGATTTAATATTGGTCCAAGATTTTTTTTGGCAATGGGAAGTTTCGCCCTCTATTGACGATTCGTACCAATCTCTACCCAGAGTTGTCGTTCGCTTCGCTACAACACCTCTGTCAACGTCTAAATGCCAAGATTCTTGGCTAAATTACTTTCATCTATTGCATCATAAATTATGAATGTAAAACTTCTATATTCTTCTTTAACATGTTAAATAAAAGTTTATTTATGAGAATTAGAATCAGATATCGCTTTTTCACCATATCCTATAAGGGATTATTTCTCGGCAGGATATTACGAACAGGGAAAATTTAAAATACATTGTCGATAAATATCAACATGATTTAGTTTTTATAGACAAACAACTTGCAGCATTAACACATATATAGAAATGTAAACATCTTAATCTTCTTGTGGACAATTTTAAACAACATTTGAAAAAAAAATGACGTCCCTCCGCTTCCGTACTACTTTTTAGACGTTGACAGAGGTTAAGTGGAACGACAACTCTGGGTAGAGATTGGATTCGTACAGGGACTTCACTCCATAAGACGTTTTGTGCCATAGAAAAAGTATATAGTTCATGTTTAATATTTCTGTGTATGATTATAATTTTCATATTAATTATTAGATAGAATGTTCTATCGTTAAAATGTTCAAGGTCCTATGAGGGCTTGTCCTGAGACACAGATTATTCTAAATGATTATATATAGTTGATATGATTAAACTACTCAAAAAGGTGTTTGTTTTTTTTCAGTTTATTCTTTTATAGCTGCAGAACTGTAGCTCTCCGAAAAAAAATATTTTGACAGACCTGAGAGCTACAGTGCCACCCACTGAAAAAACTGCATATTTATTGCGCACAAAAATTTGCGCTTGGATCTGTATTAATTATTCCAAATTCTTTACTCAATTGCAAAGTACTTGGATTTCAAACAATTCCTTACTTCTCTATCAAGTACTCTCATAGTTTACAACTGCACGAAGCACTTTAGACTGAAATATCTTGCAAACCAAAATGGTAGTATAAATAGATGAAATTTTCGATGATCTCAATTTCAGGGCCAGGAGGGCTACTAACATCAATTATAAGAAATGTTTTGTTGTGGAAACAGTGAAAGAATATGTTATGAACACATAGTAATATTTTGAGATGACGGTTTAAAAAACATGGAGAAATAAATGGAGAAACAGCGCAGATTTTTGTGCGCAATAAATATACAGTTTTTTCAATGGGTGGCACTGTAGCTCTCCAGTCTGTCAATATTTTTTTTTCGGAGAGCTACAGTTCTGCAGCTAATTCTTTTAGTTTGGGATACTTGTCCTTATCAAATCATTTATTCCTGCACTGTGGTAAAGAGATGTTTTGCACCTGTGCAGGGTTCGCCCTACACTGTTTTGCACCAATTCTGTTTCGCTCTGAGATAGTTGGCACTGAATGGTTTCACTCGGAGTACTTAAATGTGCTACTGAG